ATAATAATAATAATAATAATAATAATAATAATAATAATAATAATAATAATAATAATAATAATAATAATAATAATAATAATAATAATAATAATAATAATAATAATAATAATAATAATAATAAATAATGAAATGAAAAATGGTGTGGATTAAAGCGGTAAAAAAAGTATTTTGCATTTTCCATATTTCGGAATTTCTAGCCAAAATACTAATTTAACTTGGATAGTAATGACAGTACGTAGTTCCTTTACATCGAAACATAAACATAAACTGTTCATTATCAAGAATTCGATAGACCAAATCATGAAATAATTATTCAAGTTTATGTTCAGAATGCTCATTTTTCGTTTGCAATTGTCATGTTATTATGTATGTCTAACCAAGAAATATCTTTCACATTTCAATATGGAGAAATTTTGCGAAAGAAAATTTCAGTCCATGAAATTATTTTTTTGCAGCTGACAGAATGCATTATCAACTCTGCCATTTTTCGAACTGTTTCCGCAATTTATTTGTCAGTGAAATGAATATGATGCTCACTCCCCTTGCATCTATTTAAATCACAGAACACTATCACTGATTCAACAAAAGAAGTATAATGACATCTTCCACAGTACTGTTCTTTTTAGAAAAACAATGATATGTTTTAACAGCCAGTATACAAGTCTGTCAGTGTTCCAATCGTCTTTTCAGTCGTGTCGTAATTATCCCAAAATTACACGCACAAAATCTGTACTTTCAAAAAGTTCATTAAACTTTTAGTGATACAAAGCACAACATAGGCTTGGGAAGCGAAATTATTAAAATACAATCTTTTTGCTGTGCAACAAATAATGGATAAAACTATTCAAATCATGTAACAACTAAACTCCTCTCATCCAAAAATTGCTTACTGTCTAGGGAATCCCTAACATTAACACTGGAATCAGAAATAAGTTCACCATGAATATGCATGCAAGGCACGAACTGAATCAAGAATCAATTTGAAAAGGAGAAGAGAAAGTCTGTACAAAATTTAGACCTGATTTAAGAAAAGAAAATCATATAAGACACCAAAAGAGACGAATAATAGTATGGAATATTTCCAAATGAGGTTAGTTAACATATACAAAAGAGCCAGTGAAGGACGTGCGAAAAATGTATTTAATTCGCTTAAGCTCCTTTGAGTTGGCCTAACTCTAAAAATCATAGAAGTGACGAATACCAGGACTGAAAGCTTGTAGAAAGTAAAACCAAAAGCACTTACAGGTAGCAAGACTATGTGGAAAAACTATTAAATAATGAGAATACAGATAACTTGCCTATAGTTAAATTAAATAAAACACTCAAAGCCTCTCCTGAGTTTGGAATATCAACAAACCAGAAATTGGAATGAAAAAAATGGACTAGAATTAAAAATTTCACCCTGAAAACCCTAAACCGATGCCAGCTAAACGGAATACTTGAGCAAGACGAGACTGATCCAATGGCGGTCGATGTCGATCAAGTTTAAAAGCGATGCATGAATGATTGGGAGAAAAATACTGAGGTGCATCATAAACTGGATCTCTTATACGTTTGTCGATGGGTATTATATGACCTTCAGTTGTAAACATGATACGCTCTTCATTACGATTCACTGCGTTATTTACATCGAATAACTAAAAAATGTCAAAATTTCGTTATAAAAACTATTGTTTTTTCAAAATACAAAGCAAATTTTGGGCAAATACGAAATCAAAAACTGAATTATAAAAAAAAGAGAGGAAGAAACCACCCTGCTAAAGAAATTTAGCTCCATATTATACAACAAACTTACGAGATACAAATACTTCACGGTTTCAGAAAGGAAAAACGATTCCATCCGATCTTCTAGCGATTTATCAACAACGTTATGCACTGTAGCATAGCCACACTTCACCCTTGCGAAGGTATTGAGAGATTGAAGAATATCAAAACCAACACGAAGATAGAAGGGTTTTGTGTGGCACGATACAGCATATAGGTTGATTCCGCTAGTTCCGGTCTTAGTGGATAAAATATACGTCGGGAACTCTGAAAAAATAACAAGTTTCCCACAAGGCAACCATTTTTCACCGTAACTTATAATTACATAGAAGGAGAGAAAAGAAACTCTAGAGTAATGGATATGCCATGAAGTCCCTGATAAATCAATGGAAGTAACTTCTGCTTACTTTAAATGCCAGTTGTACCGTTCAGGAAGGGCATCATATCGTTTCCATAGTGAATAATATATGGCATGAATGCAAACTGCTTCATCGATATCGCCATTTAGTACTTGAACAGCAGCAAAACTAACCTGCGAGCAAAAACCAAATAAAATAAATTATTAACATTTGGAAAAAAAAAGGAACTTCAAAATGCAACTTAACTTAGCCTTCGCCCACACATACTACAAACAACAGTGCTTAAAGAATGAAGCAAAAATTAAATAAACGTGGCAGGTAACAAACCTGTAAAGCATCAATCCAGGTATTTAGCAACGAACCATCCCGCATGTCAACATTTACATACATTGGCGTTTCGCCCTCGCCTAGAACGCAACGATCACGGCCACGTCGTAATTGACTTCTTATGAGCGCATATACTTCCTGCATATTTTGGCGTGAATAAGTTTTTTTTTTTTCATTTTAGAGAAAGAACTTGTCAATTTAAATTTTATACACCGTTTTTTTCATGTCACTGGCAGTGCTAACTGTTTATTAAACAGAAAATGTTATGAATTCTTGTGCTAAACTACATTTCACATTTCTGTATACTACAGTGTATCTTATTAGAAATTGATTTTTTTCTCCATCCATAATGGATGGAGTTGTCAGCAAGGAAGCTACCAGTGAAAAAAACCAGTAGTGTATTATTTCTCATCGTCAAATTTTGAAATATCACGAAAATAATACTTGAATTTGCTGTATAGGGAAACTGTTACATTAAAATACTTCATAAAATCATGCAGCAACCTGAAACATTCTCAAATCAGTCTCAACACCGAAAAGAACAAAAGCTTTGAGCAAATATTCGTAAAATGAATCAAGGCCTGCACCAAGTCCACTAATCACACTTTTCCATTCGCCCGTTTGGATGTTTACAACATTGCCTGAAAAGAAGTACTTTGGTAAGTCCCAAGCGATAAGCATATGTTGTAAAAAAAAAAACAAAAACTTCAGAGTAACTACGGAGAGAACATTAAGGTCTACCAATATACATGTGCAAAGTTACGCATGAGAGTAAAAGTAACGTTATCAACTATATCAGCAAGACAGAATTATTTGATACGATTACAGCTGTAAAAACAAAAGCAATAGTACCAACCCAACAGACCAGTTACTTTATTTCTCAATGACCACAGCTTCCGATTAGTCCTGCGCGCCAAGCTTTCATATGTACCATCACCCAAAAGACGTGAGAGAACTGCAAATTCCAATAACAAACTTCCGGCTCCAGCAACACAATTTTCATTAATCGTTCCTTCCTTCACCCCACTTTGCAAATTCACCCGTGGAAACGGTATCCCTGGAACAAATGTTGTAAGAAACTAAAATAACTCATCTGAAATTTTAGCAAAATTAATTGCTCAAACAGCAATTATGAAAAGACGTAAATTAACCAGTTTTAGTGCCACTAAAAGCCGGTAACAGACGAATAGCCAAATCATGTGCCATTGTAAGTAATTCTCCATCATAATCATTAAGAGCGTAATTACCCAACATATGGGAATCATCAGTGAGAATCAAATGAGCTGACAAAAGAGACCCGATTATCCTGAAAAAGTTGAAAGATATAGAGCAGAATATGAACAGAAACTGAATGTTTTGTGAATAATGTATTATCACCTTAATCAGCAGAAGTGTCCACCAATGTTAATTCCTTTATATTCAGAACCTGAAGAGATCTCTTCGAAGAAGCTTCCGAGTTAGCTCCCAAGTCTACCACTATTAGCCTGTCAATAAACAGATGGTTTCACTGCTTTTTTGACGTTTCCTGGGTTATTGCAGGACTGACTACCACTTTCCGAGTGATGTGATATTCACAATCGGTCGCATGAATTCAATTTGGTTTCAAAAAAAAATCATTTCAAAACTGCAATCACCTTATCGTTGCTTCAAACACTTGCACCGTAACATTCCTCTCAAAGGAAACGTTGTCGATCACCATTCTAATAGCGTTATGGAATTCAGTTCGATTCTCAAAAACAACTAGAGTATCCAACGATTCTATCTACAAATGAACCGTGGATTAGAACAATTTTCTCAGTAATTATGAAAAACCAATTTTCTACTTGTATCACATGCTTTATTCGGTACATCGAATATCGTAATTGTCGAGAAAATATCAACGTACCAAAGACAGTGAATAATCTCCAAGAACATCGTTGATATTGATATTGGACCTAAACTGTCAATCTATTGCTACAAAATACTAATAAAAGCAGAAAAATGTATACGGAAGACTTTTGAAAAATGAAAATAACAAAAGAGCATAATCGTTACGTCCTTTGATAAACTTTCTTTTCCAATTGTGAAAAGAAGAAGGTAGAGTGAAGTTCAGAATATTCTCCTCCATAGCAAAAATTTCACTAAAAAACAGGGAAAAAAATCATAACTTACGGATGGAGATGATCATAACCACGACCTGAACAATTAATTGGATCCAATTCATCCATAGGAAAAGCATGCCGAATGTAATTTTCATATGCAAAATAGAACATTTCTCGCGTCGCCTTTTTTGCTTCCAATAATTCTTCGGGTGTAAAAGATCCATATTTCGAAGTGTAGTTATCACGAACAAACGGGTAGACGCTCGCAGTAACTGCTACTAACGCCCAAAATAAGAAAAGATCCGAGAAACATAGCATTTTTTTATAGGAAGCTTACAAATAAACCTGAAAGAAAAACATGCTCAATTAAATTGCTAAGCACTGTAAATTGGTGAAATTGAAATTAAATTGAATTTAAAGTGAATAACTAACTTGAAAAAGGGGAAGAATCTACTTATAACACCTGACAAACCTTGTATTATGCTGGAGATTTTCTGCAATAAAAATATGAGATGATACTTCGCAGGAGCTCATGCTCAGCTCAGCATTTCAAGCCAGATTTTAGCACTTTCAATCATGGATGTGTTGCGTCAAAAAGATTTGCAATTATCCTAAAAGTGCAATGACAAACAAAGCAAGAAAACAAAAAAAGAAAAAAAGAACAAATGTTGATACGAAAAAAGTGAAAAGCGTAAAATATAACTTCAGTATATGTAAAGAAAAAAGAAAAGAAAAACTACGACATTTCATTATAAATTCAGTAACTTTTTCTGAACAACATAAGATTCGTAAAATCAATCTTAGTGAACTTTTTTCTTCTTCAATTGTAATTTCCGGATCATGAAAACAATGCTGTCCACTAAATCCTCATTTTACTTCCATAATATAATTCATACACTTAACTTTAGAAAAAAAATAATTCACACCAATATTTCCGCATCCTTAGATGCGCAAAGGATGGAAATACAAGAACGCACGAAACACGCATACTTACGTAAACACGTTGACCATTCCACGGCATAAGTAAAGAACAATTACTCTTACAACGCTTTTTATGGTATTGTAATTGGAAGGTTGCCAATTTTTGGTTTCCTTGTGGTTATATTTTTGTTTTGAGAGTTGATTGTAGGGTTGGGGGTGAGTTCGCTTCCTGTTCCGTCATTTTGGCTTACGTGTTGAGGTGCTTCTGTGAAGTTTTATTTGAGCAAGCAAGTTGCAATTGAAACTTACGAAGGGTTAAAATTTGAGTCTTTAATTTGAGGAATGAAAATTTTTGGTATTTTGGGAAAGTACTCTAAACAAATATCCGGTTAAAGCCACGATTTTCTTTCGTAATCCGATTCGAGAAATTTTCACAGATAACACGTAGTATCGCATACTGTTTACTTTCGGGATTTCCATCATACGCTAAAATGTATGAAGTAACATCTTCACGTAAATTTCATTTGCTTTCCGTTCTTTTATTTGATGCTTCTCATTTCATTACCTTTCATTCTCCATTCCTGTTGATTTCATTAAATTATGAACAGTTTGTGTGCTTTTTTTTCCACCTCAAGTTTAATCACAGTAGGAATGAAATGGATTATACCGAGGTAGTACGATACACCTGCCGATAACTTTAATATTGTAATACTTGTATTTTCTGGTGGAAGACTAACACCTAGAAAAGTAGTTATGGGTTCAGAATTCAAAAGTAATTTCGTGCTGGAAATTGAAGTTCAGAATTTCACGGTCTGTATGTGTTGCAGTATGGCACTTTCATCTAACATTCAGGTTTGGAAAAATGGCTGAAAAGGGAAGACCGGTAAGTCCAAGTAGCGAAAGCGGTGATGACGATAAGGGTGTTATGGAAACACCGGCAAGCGATCTGGTCGTAACCAAATATGCAATGGCTGCGGATATTGTTAATGCCGTGTTGAAAGTGAGTTTTAGCTGTTCACAAGGAGCCATCTAGTGTGTTTCAATATTATCCTGTTCGAATACATTAAAGGAAATGGTTTAACAGATGGGACCAAGTTTCTTTCCGGAGAGTTTACACATGATAAGTGGCCGAATACTTACTATAGAGCAGAGATATTTCAGAAGAGATATGTAATTGGAACAAGAAATATTTGTTGCAGGAGCTAATAGTAGCTATAAAAGACGGTGTTGAAGTAGGCGAAATTTGTGATCTCGGCGATAGGCTTATGAGTGAGCGGTTGGCAAAAGTTTTTAAGAAGGAAAAAGATGCTCTGAAAGGTATAATTTATGTCTGTCTTTCATTTTTCGCAGTAGTTTTAATCTAACCATAGTCGATTGCATTTACAGGTTACGTCTTCACGTTAAAAAATGGGATGTCTTGAGATTAACAATAAGTTTTAACTTAGTGGATTTCTTTATTGATAAGGTTTTGTATTTTCGATCTGACTTCATAGTTCTATAGCTATCATTTATTTTGATTATATTAGTAGGTTTTTTAAGCGGAACTGAATCATCGAGCAGTTGATATAGATTTAACTGTAGCTTTTCGATGAATTATATGGGATTCCTTTATAGGTATTGCTATGCCAACATGTATTTCAATCAACAATTGTGTGTGTCATTTTTCTCCACTGCGAAGCGATCCGCCAATAATTATCAAGGATGGACAAATGGTGAAAATTGACCTCGGAGCTCATATTGATGGTTTCATTGCAACTGCTGCTCACACCGTCGTTGTCGGAGCTTCTCCGGTATAGCTACAGTTTTTAGCTTGGTATTTAACGGCAGTACACTTGATAGACTATTTGTTTATTGCGTCATTTTTGGTGCTGAGAAAACTTTTGTTCATTAAGGATAGAATGAATTAGAGTATCCACAGTTATTTGCTTGTAGTACCTTGTCTCAGATAAAGTTTCGGTAATCTGCAGACCTAAATCACCTGAATTTTTAAACACTGATGGATTTAATGTTATTTGATTCTGAATTTGAATTCAGGGAAATAAGATAAAGGGCAGAATGGCAAATGTGATGCTTGCTGCGTACAATGCTATGGAAGCGGCAGTTCGCATGCTTCGTCCAGGGTTGTATAAAAATATGGAAATCACAGACATGATCGAAAAAATAGCGAATATATATCAGGTATGTGAAAGTAAAATGTAAAGGATACATTACTCTTTAAACGACATGAAGGATTTTTTTGCTGAACCGGAACCCGGAAAGGTTGTTTTTTACAGATTTGATTCGGTTTTTAACATGTTCGAAATGGGGTTTGTATTACCTAATGGATTGTGGGATTTTTTTCCTTTTTTTGTTTTCTAGCTGATTGGCCGTATTTCCACTCCATTCTTCCTTTACTGCCACAATTTTTCAAAAATCATGCTCATGTCTGGTTGTGCACTTTGAATGTTTTTCCCACAAAACGATCATTTTCTTTATTTCCAGGTAAAGCCAGTCGAAAATATGCTCTCGCATGAGTTAAGGAAAAATAAAATTGATGGAGAAAAGCAAATTATTCAAAATCCTGGTGAAAAGCAGCGTTCTGAAATGACGAAATGTAGCTTTGAAAAATTTGAAGTCTATGCTATTGATATTCTGATGAGCACTGGTGAAGGCATGTTTTTTCTTCCTTTTTTTTTCGATTTTTATTTGTCTTCTGTTTGTGTTCGTAACAATGCGCGCAAAACCAGTTGCTTCTCCCTTCCGTATATGGTTACAGAATGTGCAGCTGATCTTGTTCTGTATACATTATTAACGGGCACATATTTAGCAGCCACGATTTAATAAAAAATTATCGTCTTACTATTTTTTGTAAGTATCTAATTGAAGGAGCGGAAGCTGTTCTTTCTAGCTACTCGAAGATTATGAGGTACTGATGAATTTTAAGGCAAAACTCGCATTCTGGATTCGAGAACAACAGTTTATAAAAAAGTGGATGATCTCGTTTACTCGCTCAAAGTTAAAGCGTCAAGGTATGTTAAAGGTTTTTCTTTCTGTCCTATTTGATACATGTTCTAAATCTGTCAGGTTAGTTTTTGCCTCTGCACATTTAGCAATTAAAATTTTGTGCAATAATTTTCTCGAACACGTTTCTGGTTAATCATGGGGTCCAAACTGTCTTAGTTCCATTGCTGTTGGTAATTTATTTGACGACGAATCTTAAATTTATTGTCCTTTTTCATGACTTTGGTATTCACTGAACCATCTGTCTTACACTCTTACAATTATTTTTCTTTAAAATCTTAACTTTAGTTAAACTTTTTCTGATACGAAGTGACCCGGCATTTTTGCTGGTTCCACATTTGTATAGGAATAATGTTGATTACAAAGTTAGTTTTCAGTTGCTTACATCATGAAAATTCGTATTTCACGTGCTTCTAAAACTGTTAGAGCATAGTTTACAATATATTAATAACTTCAACTTTTTTTATTAGTATCACACCGCTTTTTTTGCTTCAGAATGTTTTTATCGGCAGCAGTGAACAAACATGGCCTAATGCCATTCACTTTACGGTCATTCGAGGATGAGAAGCTAGTGAAAATGGGCGTCGTGGAATGTGAACGACACAATTTGATGCGGCCATATCAGGTTTTTTTTTTCAATGTACTTTTTTTTCATCGCTTATAACACTATTTTCATTTCTTTTTTTTTCAAAATATCGATTTGGATATAAATGCTGTTTTCGTAGGATTCTTTTTCCCTTGAGAAGAAAGCTCTTTCTTCTTAGGACGTAGGAAATGAAAGTGCCCTTTGAAGTAGGAGAACCTGTAAGGGTCATTAAGGTCATTGAGTAGTACTACTGCAAAATAAGCATAAAAGATCATAGTCAAAAATGCTTTGAAATTTTTGCTGAGTCGTACTTTGTTCACTTGTTTTTCACTGCTATTTATCTGTTTCCTTCCCATCTTTCCTTTGCTCTTTTTTGTGGTTTGAGGGCCATAGCGAAGAAGTTTTCAACTGTTTTGAAGAAATGGAGAAATGGACATTATTCTCTTTAAATTTGGAACTAATTGAGTTCAGAAAAATAATGAAAATTTTTCCAGAAATAATGAAAATTGGATTATATACTTTCACTTGGTGTGGTGATCAGTGATTAAGTTTGCTGTTTTCAGGTTCTCTATGAACGAGACGGTGAGTATGTGGCGCAGTTCAAGGCTACTGTACTAATCATGCCTAATGGATTATTGAAGATTACTGGATTTCCCCTAGATATGAATATGCTCGAAAGCGATATAAAAATCGAGGATCAGTTGGTTGGTTTTTTAGACAAGATCAACGAATGTTCTGGTTAGCTGTTAGTTTTGGTTGGGAATAAAATTACAGTTCACTTCGATTTTCAAGGAATATGATTAATGTTGTTATTTTTTAAAACCCTAAAGAGATCTGAAATTCTGGTCTGATATGTGGTGTTTTTGAAGTATATTTTGGAAAGGAGTCCGGAAATTGTTTGACTCTTTGATTTTGATAGACTCACTTCTAAATCTCATTGTGAAGTCATTTTCCAGATCACATCTCTGCTGAACTCTTCCTTGAAACCCAAAAAAGCAAAGAAGAAGCAGAAAAGTGATAAGAAGGATGAGGAAAATGGCGTTCAGAAGAAAGATGGTACTGTCGAGAAGAAGGGGAATGTTGATATCCAAAATGTGGACTTGAAAACTGGGAATATGGGTCAGAAATCTGTATCATCTGATGGCAGGGATGGTGTGAAAGCCCTGCAAGAAAATTAAAAGCAGTAGATCATCAAAATTTGCATGTTTGATAAAGGCGGGTTTGGTAAACATGGTTTTATGGTCGTGGCAACGATTATATGCATCATCGGATTTGTTAGTCTGCCCTTTTTTTTCTTTTTTGAAATCAAAGAATACATTGGCCTTTTTGTTATTGTTTGGGTGTTGTTTTTGTTCTTTGAACAGTTTTTGTTTGATATGTGTTTTTGATATTGTGTTTTTGAAGACAACTTATAAGAAGTATTTTAAGATATAGTGAGCTTTAGGATTAGTTATACACAGCTAACGGTACAGCGTAACAAGTTTGTATTAAATGTTATACTTGGTTGGTTAATGTTGTGAATTTATTTGGAAATACGCATATGTGGCTGTGTCCTTTGAAGTGGCTGTTTTGCACTTCTAATTAGAAACGTGTAGCACTGAAATGACTGGACAATTCGATGCAGAGAATATAAATGTTTTACGGCTCCTGTTACCATCTTTCTCAATGTGGGAAGGAGAAAAAAGGGTTTTAGAGGAAGTAGCATTGAATTTAGTTTTCGTCGTTGTTTTTGCAAGGACATATATTCATAGTGTTTTCATTGTTTTGGTCATTTTCGACGATAGTTCCTGGTTAATATTTCACCTTTTTTTCACTGTAACTTTTAAAAGTGAGTTTGGAGTTTCGAATAAAGTCGAAATTCCAAGAATGAGCTTGGAACGTCTTTATACTTTTTCATACTCTTCAAATTACATTGTTATGTTGTTCAAGCCTACACTGTTCAGATACAAGATAGAAGACTTGTTCCGTGATTTCTCTGTTTCTTTGCCTCTGTGAAATAAAACGTTGAAGAATTGAGAATTTCAGCAATCAGTAATCAAAAGGTCAGTCAGTTTTTGATCAGTTATGCTACACGGAATGATCAAGCACTGTCAGTAATGAAGTTTTCGGATTTGCAAGGATGCTGTGCATTACTTTGTTTGAATAAACATATGAAATTTTCACTCATCAAACTGATTCGTGGTCATAGGGAGAGGATAGTCACATAGGATTCTCTTATGAATTGCAAAATTTTTGTAGCAATAACGCTTCACCCTTGGCCTTAAACATCTGGGAGGGAAAGTCCGCTACAATTCAAGGTCATTCATGGAGTTAAAGCAGTTTCGCTTCTCTAGTCACGAAGGATTGCGAACAGTTGATAATCTGGGAATAACATGGTGGCGGTTCATTTCTAAATACGAATTTATACGTGCTAGAAAAGTGGAACACATGCTTATTATTGGGAATAATGCTCAGATATTATCAGTTGCTGATCTGGATGAATTTCTGTTATTTGTAAAGGGCTAGGCAAATCATTTCGGTTTTCCGGCTCTACCATTCAAACTGTCTTCAAAATTCACTGGTGAAAGTAATAAAAACGAAGTCTACTAAATTCCTCATAAACCCAGGACGGAGATGATACAGGTTTTCCGGACGACTTAAATCATTTCCCAGCTTGAACCGTTCAACATATCAGTTCTTCTGTCACTATGTATAACTCAAACATGTCACCTTACTGATCTCCTGAATTGTTTTAATTTCGATGAAGCTAATTCTATCAGTTCAACTTTCTAGCTCTGCAGAATTGTTTTTATACCATTGAAGATATCATCCAGAAATCCCAGTGTTTTATCAGTGTTTTCAATCAATACTAAGCAATGCATTTAAAAGATTCGAGAACTGTTACCCTTATCTTGAATGATCAACTTGAAATCAACCAACAAAGACGTAAATCTGGGAAAAAACCAAAATTTCATCTTCAAATCATTACATGCAAAACGGATAAACATTAGCTAATGGATAAATAACCATCAATTGCTAGCAAATATCCGCCAAACATCAGATAAATATCCAGTAATCATCGAGGTAATCAACTAATAAACAGGTAAATATCAATCAATCAGCACGCGGTTAACTATCAACCAGTCAGCAGGAAGTTATCCAATCAACTGATACCAAATATCCAGTGGTGAACCTAAAATGAAATGAGTCATCGATATTTTCCAGAAAAAGTATTTAAGCTGAAATCTTACCCAGTTCTTTATTCATCGTTGATAACAGGCTTGTGGGTGGTTGCTTGGTTGGTTTTGTGGTGCAAATTGATTTGCTGAGTGAATAAGGGGTTAAGATCGATTGCTATGATTGGATCTTTTTGATGGGATTACGGGGACAAAATGAGTTTCTTTGGGGGATAATGGGGACAAGATGGGTTACTTTGGTGGGATTCTTTGGAGGGTAATGGTGACACAAGATGGGTCACTTTGGTGATACTGTTCGGGGAATGACGGAAACACGATGAGTCGTGGGACTGTTTGAGGGATGAGGGTATGAGATAAGTCGTTTTGGTGGTACTCTTCGGGAAATGAGTCAATAATATCGGTTGTTTTAATGATGCTTATGTGAATTTTTTAGCGTGATAAAATGCCAGTAGTAGGAATTCCTTGAGGAAATTTCCATAGTTTACGTGATAATTTTTTGAGAAGGGGCCGAATTTTTGTATAAAGCATGTACGAAACAATGTATTTTTCAGTGTAATTAAACGAGTGAAATAGCAACAATGGGTGATAATGATGCAGGAGATTATTCCGTATGATTTATCTCTAATATCTAACTGATGATGATTTCATAACTACTAGTAAAATGGCCATTTCATCATTTCTTAACTTTTAGCAACTGACCATTTCAAATTTTTTTCCCCATTCATATTGTTGAAAATTTTGAAAATGTTGCATCATCCAATTCAAAAAAAAAGGATGAAAATTAAATTATCCCGTTGATTAGCAGCATAACCATCAAATTCATAAGTTCAGGAATGTCCAAAAAATTCAAAATAGAACCATTACATATGTTATTAATTTTAGGCCAAGAAAAAATTCCCCTTGTTTTTTACGAATTTTTTTTAAAGAAATATTTAATGTCAAAGATTGTATACACTTTGTTTTCCAAGCATAAGTGAAAAGTGAGAGGTATCATTGGAGAAATATGATTAGGTGCTTAATTCTGGCTAAAAATTTTCATCCCAAAATTTCAACACAAATGATCAAAAGATCAAATCTATTGCATCCTTTTCCACTTATTTTCAACTCTCTCCATCCCTACCTATTTTCAATTCACTAAACATTTCTACGTTAGTTCTTGATCAGTCGGTGATCTTCTTTTTTTTTCCCCCCCCCCTCTCT